ATAAGTAAGTGAAAAATTATAACTACTGTTAAAAATTTACCCAGTTTAAGACAGTATTGTTAGTTAATTGTACCTAAATAAAACCACGTAATTAAATTTACGTTGCAGTACCTTTAAAAGGTCCTCTTTGAATCCTCCTTAAAGATTTCCATGTAAGTTTTATTAAATCATCTGCTGAGGTGCTTTTATTAAATCTTCTTGGCGTATACAGGAATTTTTTTAGAAACATTCACAGACAGTTTATCTCATACTAGCAAAAACCTTATGTGCATAACTTCTTAGAATCATAAATAAGTGCTATAAATCTAAATGGCGCACAGATTTGAAGGTAATGGAGTTTCTGCCAAAAATGTTTGGGGTGAGGGGGTTACTTTTATTAACCAAACTTTAACTTAACGTGAACTGACAAAAGCTTAATATTTTTATTCTTCTTGACTTTTAAGAGAGGTATGACGGTCCCCTGTTTCCTATTTTGTGTTACTCCATCTTTTGTTAACTTTAATTGATGGTTTCTATGAAAACAATTGTATTTATATTCCATGGCTTCTGTTTATAAAATTATCCGGTACCATGACTGACAATTTGGTGGCCACCTTTCCTCTCTCCTGTTTACTTCTAGATTTTTTATAATAATGGAAAAATATCGTGCCACTAAGAGTTTTAAATCTATTGAAGCTCTTAAATTCTTATATTTTTCGTATGTGTTTAGTCGTCTTAACTTTGGCTCTGTGATCTGGAATCTCTATTACATTACCTACAGTGATCACATTGAACGCGTTCAGAAAACTTTTCTCAAGTTTATTTCAAAAAAGTTTAATGTTGAATATGTGGATTATAAAACTGCCTGTGTCAACTTTAAAATCTGTCCATTATCTTTGCATAGAACTAAGATTGATGTTATGTGCTTATATAAAATTATCAATCACCTTCTTGACAACTACTTACTTTCCAAAATTCTAATGATTACTCCTTCCTATGTCCCTCGTCATCAACAGCCTCTCCTATCATCTCAAGCTAGAACCAATTTCTATTATAATGCCCCAATGAATAGAATGTTTTTGTTGTTTAATAACAATGCTTTTCGAAATTTGGACATTTTTTCGTTTAGCTTTAATTTATTTAAAAAGAAATTATTTAAAATATTACTTGAAATCTCTTAATTCGGTTTATTAACTTCGTTATTTATCCTTTTTCCTTTTCTACACGTCGCATCGCATTTACTATCTTGCCATACATCATTTATTTTACTGTATCTTAATTTTAATTTTATTTCATACTGCGTACGTAATTACATTTTGTTTGCCTCTACTCTTTGTTGAATTTAAGTAGCACATCACTTGTGTCCTGCATACTAATTTATCACTTATGTGTTTAAAATTATAATTATTTTTATTTTAATATTTTATTTATATTTTAATTTACTCTGTTAACCTTATTTAAGCTTTTATTTTGATTATGCTTGTGGAATGTCACATTTACCATTGGTTTATATTTTTTTCAATACGATGTAGTTGCTATTTTAGGTTTGTCCTGTTTGCAACTCAAATTGATTAAATAAATAAATTTTTCACTATTTAGAAACGTCTATTTAAGGGAATTGGGGCCATAAAAGATCGCTGGTAGAAGGGGAAGACACGTGTACGTGTCCCTACCGGCCGTGTAATTACATAATTTAGGGACGGGACTACATGGTGTGTGGTCGGCGACATCTGAGCGCCATCCCTGAGCTTGATTTACTAATTTGGTGATTTTTCACTCTTATCTTAAGATTTGGTCCGATTGTTTTCAAACTGGTGTCGTCGGAAGATCTTGCAAACGCGCACAACTCCTCCGTAGGGGAAAATTTGATTTTTTTCCTTGTAGCAAAATTGACCACCGGCCTCTTCGAGGGGTAGTTGACTTCAGGTGCCCAAACGCTGCGAATTTTGTAACGCGATTTAAGGTTCTCAAGCTCGAATCGTGGCCTCTCTTTCTCGTGTGGATAATAGAAGCTCGAGCTATGCGACGTGTCACAAAAATTGAGTACTATTTTGTGGAGGATTTTTAGCGAAATCCACCAAAATGGCGCATTTGTATGAAGTGAGTACCGACAAAGGAAATGTAGTACCTCTCGGCAAGGTCTGACGGATGGTGGGGTGAAAACTTTAAATGCGATTGACGAGCGAACGGGGTGTTGTAATTAGGTGCCGGCAAAGGGACTCTGGTAGCCTTTGACAAGATCTTATTAGTGGTGGAGCCAAAACTGCCTAATAGAATACTGATCTACCTTTTTTTTAAGTAACAGGGACCACTAAACGGTTGCAACGGTGGTCTCTTTGCGAATTTCCTCTTCTGAAACCACGAAGTACTGTTCTCTAGCGGGACCAGAAACCGAATTCCTTCAAAAGAAATGACTCCAACTCAATCTTTTAATTAATCACCCACAAAATGGAAAATAGACTTGTTTAATTGTTGGTTACTTCCGCCTTACGAATCAAATTAGAGTTCCTCAGTCTTTTCCAAATATGCCAATTTTACAAGTTCCATGATATTGAGTGCTATCATGGTGATATGCAAATGTAACCCAATCGTCCCATTTAAAAAGATGAAATATGATACACACTCCAGACTTTATGACTCTACCGATTTCCGAAAGCAATTCCAAAACAAAGACCCATAGAAAAGAACACGTTGCACTGCAGTTGATCAATTTATTCTTTCTGATGCCACCTAAACCACCATTTATTTGGAAGATAATGTCAAAAACCTCTTATTATTTTGATCCGCAAATTTCAATGCTGCGCAATGATTAATTTTTCAAATTCTAAACCTCTAACTTCAAAATGAAATTTCAAAAAAAGCAAATTTACATCACAAGAAGTGAAGGTAGGGAGAGGGGTCATTACCAACAAGAAATTAAAACCATTTTTTTTGCTTAACAACTTTAGTTTGTACACCAACGAGCGAACTGCAACGATTTCGAGTAAATGAATAGAATATAATTAACAAGTAGTTGTTGACAAGATGTTTGTTATAATTTTACGCACTCAATAGCCACGCCCGTCTGTATGTTTGTGCACTTTAAACTAGCTTAGGCATTTTGATAGTGAGAGTTAAAGTTTCTCCATGTTTATAACCCTTACAAGGTATCTTTCTGTTCAATGATTTTGGACCTTCTTTCCGTCCGTCCGTCCGCCTGTGTACACGAACGGTTTCGAATTTTCCAATTCTGTTTTCAGTATTATGTTATAATTACTCAAGAAGAACTGATTAAATTTTCATTGACCAAGGAGCTCGTTTGCTACATTTGTTACAAGTTTATTAAAGCTTATTTATTCTCTTGAAATACCTCGTTTGAGTTATCTTTGGTTTGAATTATTTCCAGGGAAAGGATCGTCAATTTTCGAAGCCCTATGTTAACACTATGTGAGACCATACGAAATTATAACCATTCTTATTGTCGGTTTGTAAAAACAATAAAGCAATAAACCAATATGGACAACGAGCGACCAACACAGACGGACGGACAGAAAGTCAAAATGACCAAAATTTAATCAGCGAGTCCCTTGACAATTGTCTACCTATTAGTGAACACAGAATTTGAAAATTCGAAATCGTTCGTGAGTTATCATGTACAAGGAACGGATAAAATACTCCTGTACACAAGATCAAATTAAAGAAGGAATGGAATTTGAAGTGCCATAGAAAAACATCATTTGGCGGGAAAACATAAAACTATTGTAACAGAAACCTATAACACTCGGATGGCCTCTAGCGGCGAACTAAAGAACTAAGGCAAACACAAATCTACTACAAAAATATCAGTACGAATATGTCATAACTTTTCTTGTATAAAACTGCGATATTGTTGAAAAAAGTACAACTTTCTGGAAAATAAGTCAATAATTATCGCCCGACCACCCCAAAATTGAACTTTTGCGAAGAAAAACAACCACGTTTATAAATTATTTCTTTTCAAATTGTGAATGTATGTAGCAATTTTGATTAAACATATTTAAATGGAGGTTCAATGAAATACGATAATTGACTTTTGCGTAAGGAAGCGGCTGAGTTTAATAGTATATTAACAAACAAGTGTATAATTAGAATCCATTACAGTCCTCTGGAAGCCTGCCTTCTTTACTTGGAGTATCAAGAGTGGAATTTTTCATCACCTGGTGATTTATAATATGTAACAGTCCCTTGAATGAAATTGAATTGTACAAAGTTCGGTAGTGAAGTAATAGTTTGAGATTACAACCACAATTTCAATGGCCATTTTGTCCACTTTGAACTTTGATGAATAGCTTGCAGCTGAGTACACACTATGATTATCCGCTCTTTGCTTGTAGCGCTGTTATGAAACATTGAGGAATTGTTTGCGAGTTTGTATCTGTCATTGTTTGAAACATGTTGGTACTTATATGACATTAGCCATTAATGATTTTGTATGGCTAACAGTAAAGTTTAAAAGCAAACGAACTTAATGCTCAATCGTCAAATTAATAGGTATTGTACGTAAGCGATAAAAATACGGAAGGCTTCTCGAAGAGGGTCGTAAAACGGAAATTAAGTACATACCGCTTATTAAATATGCATTAAAATACTTTGTCGGCCCTTTCACATATAATAAATCCGCACAGAAGAGCCACTCCATGTATTAGTATCTTTGACTAGTAAGGGGCTGCACATAGCGTCGCCGAATTTTCTACATCCACAAGCCGAATGCAGCCTCGGGCGTCCCAAAAAACAATCGCGATGTACTCAGGAGACGCAATTCTGTCAACCGCAAATGAAATTAAATTCTGAAAGTTTTTCATGATACTGAAAATTGGAACGGTAATACCCTCGAGAACTTTGCTCTATTAAATGCCAGACAGGTCATATTGATCCTAAAAATTTCCAATCGCGCCCGTACAAGTCCGACCATGGAATTTAATGATGCGGACGCGAATTTTCTTTATCGCGCCAATAAATTTTTGCGTTCGGCGTTTATTAAAAGTCGACATTTTTACTTGCAGGTCTGAAGTATCTGCTGCAAGGTATCGGGCAGAATTACAAGAGCGACTCGCAGACTTTGGAAAACGGGGGACTGTGGCCGTCCGTTTTTAATTTGGCGACGAAGGCGTCGGTATCGGCGAACGCGACGTGCGGGGAGGTCGGCAGGGAGGAGTTCTGCCGGTTGGCCGAGAACGGCAGGGGAAAGTGTGGGTACTGCGACCAGCTTGGTCAGGATACCACCAAGCAGCATTCCGTTCAGAATGTCATCGACGGCAGCAATCGGTGGTGGCAGAGTCCCGCGTTGTCCAACGGGCCGGAGTTCGAGTATGTCACCATTACCTTTGACCTGAAGCAAGTAAGTAATACCATACACTCCATGCACCATGAGGTGCTTTAATTATGGTTGACATGCTATACGCTTTCAGATTTTGTATAAGAAAGCCTTCTCCTTGAGTCTTGGGGGCTACTGTGGTCAACCAGAACGCCGCATTGAAAGTTCCCATACGTATACCGACATACCTAATTTTTTGGATGTGTGAAAATTTTATCTTGAAGCTCAAATTTTTGAGTTTAAAGATTACTTAAAAAAAACAATGCACGGCGCGATTTTGAAACCTAGCATGTAGTTTTGAGGGACATTACGCGTTGGTACCTTTAAATTTCAACCTGAAACCTAATTTTAAAGGAATGGAAGTTAATAATGCAGATTTGAGGTGTCAAAATTTCAAAATTTGGAAGTTGAAAGACAAGTTTCAAAATACGTGATCCTGCACGAGATTCTAAACTTCAGATTCGTTAATTCTTTCTTTATTACACCTAACAACCTGTTAACTTTTGGCAAAAGGTAATAAAATCTTTCTATGGAGGGGGGAGGGTATTCCAGACCTCCTAAACCCCCCGGTACTATGTGTTCAGATTCTCATAATAATTAGTTTTTCGGAAAGGACAGACGAATCTTTCTTTCTTGTGGAGTATACTGATAGTAAATGCGGGCTAATAGAACATATTTTATTCCCTAGGTCAGGTATTGAGTTCGGACTTTCGCTGGATTATTCCCTATGACTCTTTGATGTGTAACAATTCACTATAAGTCTTGTCTGTGGTCTAGGTCGAAAGTTTTAGAACAAAATGTACCAAAAATTATTCTTTACACATGAATTTGGAGTTGTTAAAGGTTTTAAACGCATTCTCTTGATGCTGAAAGAGTACATCGCATGCACATTTGATAACTGCGTGTGTGTGTGATTCAAAGATGTTAAATTCTCCCACATGGATTTTGATCAAAACATGTCAACAAGATCATTGGGAACGACATTAAGAGCATTAAGTATCTCAATGCCCAAGACAACAATTTGATGTATTTTTGTAAACTATAAAATGTAAGATCAATGGTCGTTAAAAAAGTGATTGTAATACTGAGGATCCTTCGATATTTCGTTGTATCGGTTATTCTTTCCTGTGGAGTGTGTAGCACAGGACCTATCCACCGTTGTATATGGGTAACGTTCAACAAATTAGAGACAAGCTGAAATTTAGTAAGGTGCTTTGTTATAAGGGTCTAAACACCCTCTAAAACCCCCCAGCGTCGAGGCGTTGAGCCCGTCACCTTAAAATCACCCCCTAATGGCCGTTTGCACCGACAAATTTAAGTGGAGCTTAGCTTAAGCGCAACTTTAAATCCATGGCCATGGATTTTAAGCCTTAAATTTATCGGTGCAAACGGGCATAAGTGGGATAAAATCTACCTTTTTGAAACTTTTCTGAATAACTCCAAAACTAAGCATTTTAAGAAAAGATATCAAGGGAGAAAAATTGTAGAGAAGAAAATTGCCTACCATATATGTATACGTCAAATTTGTTAGATGTTCAGTGGCGCAAATTTCAGCAACTATTGAGCAAAATTTCAAAAAAGGTAGATTTTACGCCACTTAGGGGTGGTTTTGGGGTGACGGGCTCAACGCATCCGAGCTGGGGTTTTAGACGGTATTTAATACCTTAAAATAAAGTACCTTGCCAAATTTCCACTTGTCTCTAATTTGTTAAACGTCATCCTGTATGGTCCTGTGCTAGTGACAGCACTAATGCTTTTGGGGAAGAACGTAGCGCCCGTACCCTTAACAAAGGAAGGGTTGTAGGACAATTCGCACCAGAATTTCGCTCCCCTGAGAGGGTATTTTGTGTACGGTTGACTTTTAACATAGAAAGTCGGCTGTGAAGTATTAAATTAACTCAGAGTTTGAAATCTCCAATATTACTCACCAATATCACGTTTTATTACTTTGTGCATGTAATAGACGTATACCTACATTTAAAATTTGGATTCTTTCAATATTACGGTATAATTTGGAATCGTGACGTCCATTTTGTGTTCAAACTCTAAATGGGATAATTTATTAATATTGAATAAAAGTTCTCTAAACCGTTCCCATATAATTTAATAAAACGAAGTGATACACTACATGTTTCGACCAACGGTCATCTTCAGGTGATCTACAAGATGGTAGAGATAATTGAGGAGAGAATATAGCTATAAAACTTACAATAGATGGAAAACAATTAAAAGGGCAGTAAAACTGGAAAGGCCAACGACCATGTCCGTGGTTGGTTCCAGAGTAAAATTGAAATTTGAAGAGGTTGACAAACTGAATTTTTTGCAAGGGAGGGCCGAACCTAAAAACTAACATTAGACGACGGTATAAGCACCGATGAAACTTACGTATAAAAAAGTCAAAAGGTAAAAAAACGCTATCGTAACTAATAAAATACCCAATTAAGGGCTTTGAAACTGGAAACCATCTGCACTTCCAAAATCAGTGCTCGGTTTAGGTAATCTGACCTTGTCATCGTTGACCCAGATCCTGCCATTGCATGTTAAACTAAGAGCCGATGGATCCTTCTTTGCTCTTCTCGCTCGACACAGCCATGATGAGCAGTTTTGGAGTTTAAGGTTCTTAGCAAAGAGGTACATGTATCCTTCATAGATTATGTATCTCTTTCCCCTTTTCGTTGTATCGAACTCCATTGTTATGCGCCCCGTATAGTTTGCACCGCCTAAATCTCATATCCATTATCAACTTTTTGTAATAAGTCAAATTTCAACTTTTAGCCTCAGGGACAAATCCATTTTTGATGATGTTTTCCTTGATTTTGGCATTTTAATGTGGCACTTAAATATTTATGTTGGTTAAACAATAGCCATACAATTTGTAGAGGAATAATTTTTTTAATAGTATTTATGAGGCAAGAATTCATACGTACAATCCTATGTACCTTTTTAAATGGAATGGACCATAATATCAAAGCAGTAGAGATATTAGGTCACTTTAATAGCATCCATATCACTCAAAATCTGGAATTTAGTACTTATTTTATTGTAATCTCCGTATTAAACTTGGAACACTTGCTAAAGGTACCATGAATGAAAATTTATTTTAAAAAAACAAAAAAAAAAGTAAAAAGGCACTTATCCGTGATGTAAATTGTCCATGCACTCATGTTCACAAGTAGACGGATGCTGCTAAACGCGGGTATCGGTCTATCAGCAAAACTGCAGTCACCTGACATTTCTTAAACCTATTTACCCAGTTTTATTGTACCAATTCACAATCATGGTTTTTTCATTTGGAAACCTTTTAGCACGTACAAATAATATTGCAATAGGAAGATAAAAGTCTAAATAAAATTTTAACAATTATTATTTGTTAATAGCTGCAAGTTAAGTTTCCTAGTTCTCTAACCTTCGATGTCGTCCATTTAAAGGACACGTAACGAAATACGTATATATTGTCTTAAAAGAATCTCAAGTAAATTATAATCATATTTGAACGTAAAACAAATAGATTCTTGAGAGTTTCCGTAAAATTAAAGAGATAAGAACTGTAAAGTAACGAAAAAAGCAAAAAATGTTGATAAATATCGTAAAAAAATTGATCTTGCTATAAATTATATGGCGATTATTTAAATAATATACTGAAATTGTGAAGATCCATGACTCTCAATGGGGTGCTTAAGAAGCTTCGGAGAAATAACACCAAAATCTACCCATTTATTATTGTAACAATTTTTATGGGGAGATTTTGGTGTTATTTCTCCGAAGCTAAATAATATACGGTGGTGCATTAAAAACGATGAATAGCTATTTCTGTAAATTAAAATAATTTTCAAAAAACGCTTTGGCACGTTAAATTGATCATGGAAGGAAACAGTGTCTAAAATAAAACTTGCTCACTAATGTCTTTGTCTCGCTTCGCTGACAGTGCAACTTAAAATCTTAAAATGATGCATCGTTGGTAAAGTCGCCCATCTCTGAATTCAGATATGTAATTTTTTTGGTTTAGTTGTTTCATTTCCAGCGCATTGGACGTTGCAGGTACAAGTTTTCTCTTATTTTTATCCCCCTTGCAACTGCATAATTTTGACGCACGATCGCATTACCTTCTATTACATAGTGATCGGACCGACATCCTTCCAATGACATAAACAACAGCGCGCCCTCAACTTACTTTTAAAATATTTCGAAAATATAAAATCTAAAAAATTATAGTCTCACCAAATTCAGAGAAGGAAAGTCTTTCCAATGATGTCCTATCTTCCTTGTTGCGCAATTACCAATGCTAAGGGTTTTGCTTTAGTACTAGGGATACCATACAAAAATTAAAAAGGAAGTATATAGGTACTTAATAATTACAAACATTTAAAAGAAAAAATCATCAATATCGACCTGTTCCTAAAACGTTTCAAGATTTTTAAAAGCTTTACTGTTTTGATTATTAACAATCTCTTGTAAAATTGCCAGAATTTTTCCATGTATCTTCAAACTATAAAATAAATAAGAGTAAGAAAATCAAAAAGAAACTTTTAAGTTCATTCACTATCATAGTTGTAGCAAAGATAACGCAAAAAAATAAGCAGTTAGTGTAATTTTACTCAGTCAGCAATAATCAACATATAGCCATATGTGGTCAAAGAAACGTAAAACTGGTTCTAAGAAAACTGGAAACTTACCTTTTCTGAACACCACCAAGACACTACCACCAGAAATAAAAATTTTTAAAATTAAAAAATAAGTATACACAAAATCAAAACCCGTGCTCAGATAAATTCTAATTAGTTGTGGTCATACGTACTTTTAAACCTGATTTTTCGGACCTAATTACTTTTACCTTGTAATAAACCCTATTCATCTTACAGAAATAATAGAAAGGATGTCATTACGATATTTCTCTTATTGTTTCTTTATGAAGTGCAATTTGTGTTATCGGGCTCTTTTCAAATTTACGTTTAATTATAATATTATCTTAATTACTTATCCAAATTTAGTGCCATATATGAAATGCATTGTTCTATTGTCATTTA